TTTGAGATAACATGTTAATTATTAATAATATGTCAAGAATTAATTGAACGGACAGCATATAACCTCGTCTTGCTTCTTCACACGATTTCTCGAGCGAGCAGTTGCTACTACACAGCCACATTCCCCATTTAAAGGCACCCCTCACATGGGATGTAAAGGTGGGTTCAAGCCGGGGGCAGTTCGAACCTTGTTCAGCCACGATCCAACTAAAGAAGCAGGTTGTGTCGTATCTGGCTCTTAAGCCTGCAATGGTTGGCCCACTTCTTGTTGCTGCTGCTGCTTCTTCTTTTTATTTTTTTTTCCTTAACATGTTGACTTTAAAACTAAAAAATAGTAGAATTTGTTGGGTTCGTCTTACACGTCTACCATCGCCAACTGTAATAAGGATTTTGCTTCGTGTACAGGAGCTTCACAGAACTCCTCCAGAATCTCAAATTTATATTTAGTATCACCATGATCACCAAATTCATTTTATTTTATCATGGCCATCGAACTTTATACTTAGTGTCACCCTGACTATTCAATTTCATATAACATTTCACCATGGTCATCTTACCTCTTTTCACTAATTTTGAAAGGGAAATGGTAACTTTGCATTATATATATAAAATAAATAAAAAATAATTTTTTTTTTTAAAATTTAAAAACCATTTTTAAAAATAAGCAAAGTTACTGTTTTAACCTCTTTAAAATTAGTCAAAATGGTGAAAAAAGTTTGAGTGACCATAGTAAAATATTATATGAAATTGGGTGGCCATGGTGAAACTTTATATGAAATTAGGTGACCATTATGAAACTAAGTATAAAATTGGGTGGTCATGGTGAAACAAAATCAAATTGGATGACCATGATGACACTAAGTATTGGTGGATTTAACCTGATTTTGACCATATTGAAAAATTAACATGTTACTGAGCAAACTGGAAATTGTAGTTGTCCCAATTACTCCTAAAAAGAGACTTTGAAGTCACTTAAAACTAAAGTCAGTCATTCATTATAGACTAGCCAAAGAGAAAGAGGGCCATTGAAACTTTTATTACTTAAAATGGACCATAAAAAACTCATCAACAGATATAATCATGAATTCAGCCTGGTAAAAACCAAGTTTCAAACAACAAATAATCATCAAATTATGGATGGTTGTTGTGAGAGGTTGCAGATTATCGTTTACACAAGTAATCCTCAATTCTTCACACCACAACCTTCAACCTAACAAGGAAAAGAACAAAACAATGTAATGGAATCGGTGCGATCAGAAGAATATTCAAGGGCATGAATATGAATCGTAGATGTCAAACATATGTCGATGAACAAATTAAGGCACGTACTCAGTCTCGAGGGTTGGTTGTGTCCTCGTCCCAGTGGCTGCCGGTGCCTTTGTGCTTCCAACCCTAGTCATTTCCAACGACTCCCCAACCTCTGCAGCCCTCTCCATATGCTGCATTTCCTTCGTCTTCTTGTACTTGCATGCCCAGAGCACAAGAAGTCCTAACATAATCAACAATGCCGATCCTCCTAAAACTGACCCAATGGTAATCCAGACCTTTGAATTGTTCTTCTTGCTGTGGCCACTTGGTGCAGGACCTTGCTTTGGACCACCCCCCAGTCCTGGTGGCACTGGAGACACAGGTGTGGGAGCAGGAGCAGTTGACTCGACTACAATAGAGAAATGCCCCTGTTGGAATGTTGTACATGTCTTGTCTTGAGATACATTACTGAAAATAACAGTGCCATTTAAATAAAATGAAACACACTTCGGAACTGGCCCTTCTGGCAATGACTTTATATCCGAAAACTTTATCAATATGGGCTGACCAGACGCATGAATGTCAAGCACAGGCAAGTTTTTAGCCATCAAGTCTGAAGCATCATAAGCTAGAAGACCCAATACAGGAGCTAAATAAATGTAACCAGGCAGAGGATAGTACACTATAGACCAATTGCCCAAGTTCTGGTACACCAAAACAAGCCTCTCAACATAAGGCTGCTCGAGCACACCCATAGGAATCTCAAACTCTTTGTACATGCTAACTCCATGTGTCCTTAAGCTACCACTCCTTAGCCTCATCCCTGAAATCATAATCCCTGTCAAATTAGACGGGACAAATCCATCATAAACAACACCGGTCCTAGGGCTAAGAAATGCCTGATAAGCATAGTCTTGGAGGAGTGCATCAAGTGCCCGAGCATCACCTGTCGAATTTGATTGGGCCGTGACAGCTCTGAAAGAGCTAAACAACAGTATCGTGAGAAGAAGCATCGTGAGACTTCCAAGAAGTCCCATTCGATGCTTCACAGTATTAACGAATCTATCAATCTGAATTGGCAGATACAAATCAATGTCAACCAAGAAAGTGTTGCAGTGATTACACTTAGATCCAGAATAATTAAGAGAGCATTACTAAAGACTAAAGATTTCCCAAATTGGTTTACTTTAATAGTACCCCAAACAAGCTTCAAAACTACACCTCACGGTCACGGACTTCAACAATTGATCTATTTGCCAAGAATCTGATTCTGCATTTGTTAACAAACGATAAACTATGTATCAAAAGATCCATATTTCTTGTCTTGAATGATAAAGCAAATAGAGATGAGAAGCTTTAAACCGTTGCAAAGCAGCGGAGTCCGAGAAGCACTTTTTAACCATTTGGATTTCTTTACTCTGAAAGAGACCCTCATAAAAAAGAACACAAGATTTTCTTCATTTCTCCATCAAAAGTAGTTTCAATAATCCAATTGCTTTAGATTCTTCCCCTTCTCAACCCCAAATACAGATTATTGATTACAGTATTCGTGTTTCCACGGACAAAAAGGAAAGAAAATAAGTAATTATTCTTTTTCCCAGATCGAGAAAAAAATGTACCTTATATAGTACAGTTCGAAAACCCCAAATCTTCAGCAATGCCGACGATTAAAACACCACACGCGCTGAAATATTTGGAAAACGATGATCTAATGCACTGTTTCTCTGCCCAACAATAAGCTGGCTCCGAAACTGTGAGCTTAGCAATTTTCACCCGAGATCCAAGAATTTTTTTTTATACTATAAATGCATATACACTACAAAACCAACAAAAGCGTTTCACTTTTACGTAAATATTTATGATTTATCCCTCAAATTTCAACACACACAGAAGCATGCCACTTGTATAAGAGAGAGAATCTATGCGAACGAATCCCTCTCTCTATATATATAGGCCTGTGTGAAAGATAAAACTTGAAAATCGAGTAGTGGAGACTGGTGAATGAAAGTCGGTGAAAAAGAGAGTTTATAGAGGGTACGTTTGTCATGTGAACTAATGATGGAGAGAGAAAGTAATAGGCTGCTGTGCGGTCAAAAGAAAATGGATTGACGATTATGCCCTTGAAAATTATCAGTTTTTTTTTTCCGTATGTTACAACATTTTTATGAGAATTTACATTATTTAATAATAAAAGAAAAGGGTCAAAAGAGTATCTTTGGTCAAACAATGTTCTACCTTCATTTTTATTGTATTCTTCAGCATCCTACCTGGAGTCTGTTTGATTTTTATTAATCAGGAAAAAAAAAGAATTTTGAATAATATTTTTAAAAGAATGTGTGATTAAAAGTAAGAAAAATTTTTAGTATAAAGTTAAAATATTTCATTATATGTAAATGTGTAGTTGAAAATGATTTTGTAACAAATCATAAAATAAAATAATGAATGTCAAACAGACACTTAGACCCTGTTAATAGCCTTGTTTGAGGATTAACATTTATTCCTTGGTTCATTTTCGTTATTTTTAAAATGCATTTTTCTTTCAATTCTTTTCAACTATGTAAGGGAGGGAGGGAGGGAGAGAGAGAGAAATTTCACACTGATCAATTCACCCCTATTTTCTCCTCCATCTGATGGTTATAATAGGAAAAAAAATGCGAAATCGTGCTAGGAAGAATTGAAGAAAATGTGTTTTTAACTTTTACACTCAGATTAAATTAAAACGACGCCGTCTCGCCATTTGAATTTCTGTAAAATTGTTGGCTGCTATTTCTTCCTCTGCTGGCTTTGCTTTGCTTTGATCTACCTCTTGCCTTTCTTTCCCCTTCCAGCTGACCCCAGAATAACCTTGTCTCCAAGATTCCTATGAAGGAAATTTTATTTGCCTGAATTCCGAAGTTTCTTAGGTTGCATCTGTTGGGAATCTACTTATACATGCACAGCGAAATTTAAAATATATTTCGATTCCCATCCAATAGATCTCATTGTGTTTGGTTAGGAATTGTGATAGGATTGTACCTTTTCCAGATCTGCAATCCTTTTGCTTTTCTTTTCGTTCCACAACTTTGATTCGCCACCACAGCTGTCCAATTGTCCAGCCTCCAACGGTGATCCACACAGAGAAAATGATTGCAGCCTCTAGGGTTTTCTCTTGTGCTAGCAAGAATAATGAAAACCTTAATGGACCTCAAACCCTAGTTATATATTTATATAAACCCAAATAGGCTCGGCCCGGTCCGGTCCAATAATTAATTAATCCAATTAATTAAACCCGGTCCGTGAATCAATTAATCCAATTAATTAATTCGAAAATATAAATAACAAATCCAATTAATTAATTTATCCAACGATTGTTAAATTAACTAATTGGCAATTTGCAATCTTCCAATTCTCTTTTGTGTGTGACCCATTAGGTTCCCGACCACGA